GGGAACAGAGAATGAGGTATGTGCATCAAAACGGATTGTATACTTTCGTGCCCGATGGTAGGGCAGAGAGTGATGAAGGGTCCGAATACTCTGAATGTGAATACAGAGAATGCGGAAATGGTGACTGTGACGCGATTGGTGTCGCACACACTGAATGCCATAAATGTGGTGTTATTTTCTGTGGTAGAATTTTAAAAATTAGCTATTCCGATTCCGATTATTGTGGCATACAGACGGTACGGGAGAATATCGAAGGGTTCACTGATAAACAAGTTGAGCGGGCTAATCGCGCACGATCAGTGTATCATATGGCTGGTGCACCAGGAGTTCAAGCGTTTCGCATTGCAGTAAGATCTGGTCTGTTCAAGAACTGCAACGTGAATGAAGAAGATGCAATCATTGCCAAAAAAATATATGGACCTGGTTCTTTGGTCCTTAAAGGAAAGACAAAGCGTCCCACACCTGAAGGAGTGCAGGATGACTGGATAGAAATACCAAAGGAGTTATTAATGCACAATCTGAATGTTGTGCTGCACATTGATCTTGTTTTTGTTAACAATTCATTCGGACTCACGACCATTGATGGGAGTGTGAGATACCGGTGCTATATACCCTTGGCTTCACGATCCAAAACGACATTGTATGACGCAATTGATAAATGCTTTTGAATATGTAATGCACGTGATTTCACAGTGGAAACGATTTACTGCGATGGGGAGTTCCGTCCGGTATTTGAACCCGTGAAAGACGAACTTGAAGTTCATATGAATTACGCCAGCAGAGGCAAACATGATCCGAAAGCGGAACGAAATAATCAGCATTTAAAGGCACTGTTTTGGGTTCACTTTCACCGAATGCCATTCAAGGCGATTCCAAAGAAGTTAAGTGTGGCACTTATGGCACCAGTCGCTAAAATATCCAACTACTATCCGGCAAAAGGTGGGTTGTCTGCATACTACAGCCCGCATATGATTATGCATCAACGAATGGTTGATGCCTCCAACGAATTTGTCGCTGAGATTGGTGCCTATGTCCACGGATATGGTCATGACACCAAGAATAATATGGCTGCTCAAACGATCGAAGGTGTTTACATGGGACCCACCGACGATATTCAAGAAGGGCACCGTATCTATGATCTGAACACAAAGTGCAAAGCACGACGTGCAAAAATCAAGGTTCTTCCGATGACTGACCAAGTCATCAAGATTATCAAAGAAGACGCAAGATTGGAAGGAGTGACGGAATTGCGCACCTATTCCAAGCGTAATGGCGAGCTAATCCTCGATGGTGATTTGCTCGCAGGAGTGGACCCAGATGAACTGTGGGATGAAAACTACGTACCAGTAAACGAAATCGAAAGACTGAGTGATGTAACCCTCCTAAATGAAAATATTCCAGATGACGAACTTGATAAATTACTAATGGATGCTGAAGCAGACATCATGGAAGCGAGGTTCGACAGGGACAGAAACCCAAGATACGATAGCAAAGCAAATCAATATGAAGACGAGCTAGAAGACAAAATGTTTGACAGAATGTTCAAGAAGATTAAGGCTAAACAAGATGCTGAAGATCTGATGGACGAAGACTACCACGAACACGAATGGATAACTGACAATGAAGACATGGACTACGAAGACGAATACGAGTCTGAACTAGACAATGAAGAGACCAAGCAAATGTTAGACGAACTGGCAGCTGAGTTAGTGGAACTTGGAAAACCAGACGAAGAAGAGGTTCTGTTCGAGTTTGATGACGACACACTAGTGCTTCCCACAATGTAATGGATTCCCAGTCTGTCACATCACTGGTCGTCATAAATTCATTGATGCGTCTCAATAATTTAATAGGATCACCCTCGATTTTCTCATTGTAATCGACCTCCTGTAGAATCTTGTCCTTCATTTTACTGGTAACAAATGACTCCATAATCAGCGAATGCACATGCCACTTCGCTTTGCTCCAGTATCGCTTTTGTCGATGATATTCGACACTCTCCGTTTTCAATTCTTCCTTCTTTGCCTCTCTCTCAATTTCGTCTTCTTGACCAGTTAAATCCAATTTGGGTTTCAAACCATCCCAGTCTGGCTCATTCAATTCTTTGATGGAAGATATCATAGTCTGAGGATACTCCAATCCCTCCATTCCAATTCGTTCGATGAGGCTCCGTGTTACATCGGCATAAGGAAAATCTGGGTTGCTTGGATGATACTTGGGCGATCGTTTTTCTTTCTTTTTTGCATTCTGTGAATTGCCACTTGTCTGGCGATTTCCACCAAATTGATTGCCACCGCGACGTCCTCTCGTACTTTGGTTGTGGCGCGTCATTGTCTCTTTTATAAACAGTCTCACTATCGATTGAGTGTCAGATGGACTTGCTCTACAGACCTGAATGGGTGCCTCAACGCCCTGTCTGTTTCAATGAGCAATCCCTGAGATCGAATCTACGTCGACTATGGTCTGCCTTTGGGCACCAGCGACTCTGGGCCTCAGCCTCTGGAATAAGCAGTAGTCTTATTCAATCAAAGGTCTTACTTTATTATTTCCTATACTTGCTTGGACCTCAATGTCCACAATATTATTCTTGCCAGAACTCAATCGATAGTGAGACTCTTGATTGAAGTTCAGGATCATGTTACAAATTCTCACGATTCTCATTCTTGATCACCTTTCTACGTGACAACTCGTTTGGACATACTGCGTTTCATACTACACATGATCGACACTCACGTCACTGCCGCGTCATGTCACATAGACCATTGATCAATATTCGACCAATATGATTGCTCAGTATATCAATACCTCCAACATCCACAGCACAAAGTGTGTTTGTGCACCATTTGAGGTTCTTACGTTGAGCCATACTGATCTCTGATTGTGGCACCCATTTACGGAGGGTTTGATCGGTTTTTGTCAGAGTTGGCTCATACAGGTGATGAGTCAGAAAAGGGACCAAGCCCTTCAAGACGTTACAAGCCAATTGTCCAAACTTCTTGCGACACACCAGGATGTAGGTGCCCTCCATCTCGCCTGGTAGAACCATCAAGAACAGCGGACCGGACTTGTGACGCACCTGATCATTCTTCAGCTTACGGTCAGCAACTTCAGCCATTTTCCGTTGGGCTGGGGAGAGATTGTTAAGGAACGGATTCTCATTATCAGTGATCAACTTCTTCTTCTTCTTTGCCTTCTTTTTCACCTTTGTTGCCGCCTTCTTAGACCAAAACTTCTGTGAATTGACCGCCTTTAGAGCCAGAGGATTCATTGGGATCATCGTCAGAACAGTCATTGTCTGAGTCATCAGCCTCAGTTGTTGATTGGGGGGCATGAGAAGCTTTGTCGGCTTGAGCTGGGGTTGCCTTGATCAACAGGAGAAGCTTAAACAAGGTGCATGAGCCAAACATAGTAGTCGTTGCGAACTTGAACATCCCAGGAAGATCCATGACCAAATACAGGACCTCTGTCAGGATGTAGTAATCATGTAGTTTGCTAATAAGGGTGAGGGTAGCATCCTTGACCGGACTGTAGGCCTTCACACTGATCAATCCCTGTTGAGCAGACTTCCAATCACTAATAAATGTAGCCGGAGCAGCAAAGGGGAAGTCTGGCTTTGCTGTGGATGGATTAAGAAGGCTTCTTAATTCTTGGTCCACTCTTTTGGCATGAATCTTGCAAGCATACCCATGAGGACTTGTTACACCAGGGGAACGTTCGTTGAATTTAGCACGTCCTGTGTAAGGTGTGGAAACCCAATCCATCTTGATTCCAATAGGGATAGAGAAGTCAAAGTGACGCATGATTTCTTTCGCATAGGCTTCAAAGTTAACCTCCGGCGGAATGAAGGCAAAGCAACCCACTTTAACAATGTGCCCATATTGAAGCGGCGAAGGGTAACATCCGGCACCGCGACCCTGGGAACGGAGACCAGTGTGAAGATAGTCCTGTACCGCCTCTTCCGACGTGTCCCTTGCAAAGCCAACCCGCATTTGGGTACGTAGTTTCTTCTTGCCAGGCTTGCTGTTGGTTGCTGCATAAGGAGAATTTTCATTTTCCATATTGCAGTAAAGACTCAGGGCCCGGTAGGACAAAATTTTGTTGCGTAACTCAACCGAGTTCCGGATCCACCGGTTCTGTTGTTTATAAGTGTCATTGGAGATAGGGAGGATCTTCAACTCATGAAAGAAGTTGTTCAAAGCTTCCTCCATTGATGTCAGCACCGCAGATAAAATTGCCTCAGCAACCGTGCCGGAGTCCGATCCCAAGTAATTTGTCGCAAATGTGGTCTCAAAAATATGACATCTGCATGTCATCCCATCCAAGTTAACTTGAATCAATTTGTTAAGTTTCTCAGCAAGGGTGGGCGGCGGAGGTAGGCGACGTGTAGGTGGAGGTTTATGTATCAATGAAGAGCTGTCCTGAGAGACCTGAGTGGGGCTTCTCAAGCTGTCAACCGCCATGTTGTCGTCTTCTGACCTCACCAGTGCTTCTACAGATTCATATATATATAACTGAATCATTAATTGGTTTTTATGCTACTTCTAGAGTATCCAACTGTCGGTGTAATACGGCTGTAGAGGCCAGGAACTATGCTGCTTTTAGTCAGATAAGTTTGAACCACGTTGAGGCATTTTTCAAGAAAAAAGTTGCTCTAGTCGATCATGTCAGGGGACAAATCGGCGCTCCCACTGTTGGTGAGGAAGTACAAACAAGATGCAAGGATTTCTCCTGGGATACAGAGGAATTTTGTGGGTACCTTTTCCAAGGAAAGAATTGAATGCAATTCTCTCAAGTCATCTGTCAATGGGCAGATTGGCGCTCCCACTCTGTTGGTGGGGATTTGGAAGGGTAGACCAAGAAAATCGGTCTGCTGTATCTTTTCCAGAGAAAGAAACAAGACAAATATGCTGTACAACATGGAGAATTTGTGTTCACAGGGGTTGTCCTTCACAAGGTCAACCGTTAATAGGGTGGTAGAATTCGAGCGGGTTGTTGCCTCCAGACCTTCCTGAGCGAGCTCAGGTGCAGGCATTGTCAATTTCAAACCCATCTCTTGTGATTTGTTGTCATTCGAGCCCATGGTTGGTGGCCACGTCTGATGGGCAGCGCAGACGTCGTAAAATGGGATTGTTGTTGAGTGTAAATAGCGTAGACGTTCCGTCTGGTTCCAACCTTGTTTTGGTGGAAACTTGGACTGAGCTTTGGCTATTTGTGGCTCTCGTTTTATTTGCTCAAATTCCTCCACAATGTGAGGAATGATAGCAGGATTAGCGAAGAATTTGGATGCCGTTCGCCACATCCAAGTCAACGGCTCGGCGCGTTGAACAATTAATGTTGGGTCGAACACAAGCGAAAATTCCCAAAAGCGAGGCAACTTTTCGTCAGTAGTGATAACGCGTTGGGCCGTTGCGAGACCTTGAGTTTCTTGGTGTACGCGACAAGCGGTCGTCCTTGCACTGCGCCATCCTCGGCGGTTTTGGAAGGAGGGGGATGCTTGCGTTGGCTCTTTGAAGTCGTGGGATCAGGCGGATTGTCCTTAGGTAACTCAATGGACAAAGGAGTGGTCGGATTTGGGCGAGTGCTGACCGTGACGTCCTGAACTTGGGGAACTGCAGATGGGAAGAGCAAGCGCCTTTCATTGCGCCATCCTCGGCGGTTTCTGAAGGGTGTCGCTTGCTGCTGCGCTTGGGAGTCATGATGGCAGGATTGTCCTTTGTTAGAGCAATCAACGATTGAGTGGTCAAATTTGATCGGGTTTTTGCCTTGAGACCTCCCTGACCTTGGTCAGCTACAGTCATGATCAAATTCGGATCCTTCTCCGGCGGGTTGACAATGTTATCCTTCATGTTAAAGTAAAATTCTTTCCTGTTTCAGCAACAACAACTGTTTTCC